TGCCACACAATAATACCACACACACACACACCACATACACACCACCATACTACACACACACCATACCACTCACACACCACACACACGCCACACCACCATACAACCATACCACACACACACCACATGCACACCACCATACCACACACACCACACATGCCACACACACAGCACATACACACCACCATACTACACACACACCACACACTGTACCACACATACCACACTATACATACCACACGCACCACACACACACCACCATACACAACACTCACCACACACACCACGCATATATCACCACACTACACACACACCACACGCACCACACATACACACCATACCACCATACAACCATACCACACACCACACCCACATCACCATACGACACACACACCATATGCATCACACCACCGTACCGTACACATACCAAACACACACCACCATACCACCATACCACACACACTACACACACCACACTACCATACCACACACATATCACACACCACACACACTACACCACCATACCACATAAATCACCCACACCACACACACACACCACACACACCAGTCACCATATACCACACACCACACACACACCACACAGACACTATACCACACCACACAAATACCACAAGCATACCTATTGCATACCACACATACCTCACATCACAGTCACCACAGAGACCCCACACACACCACACACCACACATACCACACCACCATCCACACCACAGTGCACAGACACACATACCTCTCACCACATGCCACACCACACACACACCACACCACCATCCACACCACACACACCACCATCCACTCCACGCCACAACATCCTACCACATACATCACCCACATCACACACACACCACACACACCACTCACCACATATCACACCACACCATACACATACCATACCACACAGCTCACATACACATACTATACCACACTACATACACTCCACAAACACACACACTACATAGAACACATACCTCACATCACACTCACCACCACAGCGACCCCACACACACCACACAGCACCCACAACACACCACACACACCACACCACACCACACACCACACCACCATTCATCCGCCACACACAGCACACCATACATCCCACACCCCATACCACACCCACTATATACGACACATACCTCACATCACACTCACTGCAGAGACCACACACCACACTCACCACATGCCACTCACCACACCACCCCACATACATACCCCCACACACACAATGCAACACACTACACATACGAACTCACTTGAATACTGGAGATTTTAGCCCTATGCTAAATTTTTCATCCAAATAATGTAAACTATTGATTTAGCAACACGTATTTGCCACGCATTGAGCCAGACCGGGAACGCGCAGTGGAAAGAGCAGAGCTGCTGCCCTTGGAAGCTAACAGGCTCTGCCTGCACAACCAGCCAGTGACTGCTAGCGACGCTGCATGACGAGGACACTGGGTGCATGGAGCACCCAGAGCCACCATCACTGGGCTCCCATTATCCCTTTGAAATTGATTTCACGGAGGAAGTTCTTACCTTGTCCATGAATGAAAACTGTGACAGGCTCAAGAACTTTCTAATTATTCTCAGATAATTCAAAAGGTGAGAGTCATTTTAAAGAACGAAACACAGTCTTGATTCAGAAATTTGAAAGCACATTTCAATACATGAATCAATGAATGCGCCCTGTTCTTTCGATGGTGAGGCATCACCAGGAGCTGGGGAGCAGCCAGGGCCCACAGCAGGAGGAGGGGCGGCTCCTGCCTCCTCTCACCTCCTTCCCTGCTCCACTCCTCCACAGCCTTTTCTGACTTGTTGCAGGAAGGAGTAACTGTGAGGAGAGAGATGTTTTAACTAACTGCTACTGCTATAAAATGACTTCACACCCTTCTGTCTGGCCCACATTAAAATCTGGATTTTGTGAACACCCAGTGGGTTCTTCAGAAGCTCCATGTACTTTGACCTGGAAGAGCTGCTTTATTCTGGGGTCACTGACCCCTTCTCCAGTTTCTACCTCCTAGGTTCCTTCTTTGCCCAGGGCTGTTCTACACTCTGGGCAGTCCGCCCGTGGGCAAGGACCTAAGAGGACTCTACACCAGACAGCTAGTGCAGGGTCTGTATGGGGTCCATTAGGATCACTCATTCTTTGAAGAAACGCTTGACACGAGGGCCAGTCTAGCCTGCCAGTTTCTCTCCTCATCTGAAGAATTAGCCAGCACAATTCAGGGATTGCTCACTGTGTCCCATAAGGTCCAGAGGACACATTTCAATCTCTGCAGGTGGCCCTGTGAACGCCCATCTCATTAGGTACACGGCGAGAATTCAGAACCTCCTATCCTTGCCCTTGGAGGTGAGAGCCACAGAATCCCAGCAGCTCTTACTGAAGAATCTTCAACAGCTTCTCTCCCGAACTTTGCCCATATTCTTTGGGTGTTCTAGGGACCATCCTATTTCAAATGTCTGAAAGTGTTATCAATAGTCGATCTCAAAATTCATGTTGGCAGTTTGAACTGTTTTTGGTGCCTCGGTTTTTTTAGTTGGTGCCTTGGTAAAAATTATTAATATAATATCCTTTATAAATGTAATGTGAGCGAATATGCAAGATGTAATGGAAGGCAGAGCCAGGGACAGCGCTGGAAAGTTCACCTCCTGCCTCCAAAACTCTTTCCAGGTGCTAAAAAGTACATCCTCAGGACATTTTTTTTCTAGATATGCAACGTAACAGGAATATGTTCACCCACATTTCTACCACATGAAATTTTTGTTTTCAAGGGAATATTTATTAACTGCACATTGTCAAGTCAAAAGTAAAGATGACCCTCATAGTTTGAAATTTTGATAAAATATAGGAGTTTGCCAAGGGAAACAAAATTACTTCAGTAAGATTTAATGTAAATTAGATTTCAATATTTTTGAATTCTCAGCGCATACATGGACAGTATGAGTCAGTGAAACTAAACCTCTTTAGTTAGGAAAAGAGGCTCAAGCTATTTTAGTATAAAATAAATAAATAAGTAAATAATTTAGTGGCCCAAAGCAAAAAATTTTGTGTATCTTTTCTATAGGAAAGGAATAATTTATAATATGAACAAAGCCTGATTTGGGCACTCTACCACAGAATTACATCTGTTTGACATGCATTATGTTTTTTGACGGAATAGACAAAGTATAATATATGGCAATTTAACCAAACTTGTAAAGCACAATAAATCATTCTCTTCCACCAGCAAAACTCAAAGAACCAGAATGGAATACTGCCAAATATGCCTGCCACTTTTTAACCAATGCATTTAGGAGAATGTGACTTTCCTTGTAAGCTGTATTTAATTTCTTTTCTATAATTTACAACACATAATATTATCCTCCATCACTGATTACTTAACAACATCCTGTCTCCACAATTAATTTTAGGCAAAGAGTAAACCTAAAAGCTATATTCTAAAATCCGAGGGGTAGAGAGGATTAATCGAATATGTATATATTTAATTCTGAGGAATTCAAAAATATTTGTCATTTAGAATATATTTAAATACCTTTGCAATATGACCAGGCTGTATATAACTGTAATAACAAAAAGTTGTAAATCCTGCCCTTTCTGACCTTCAATTCTGGTTTCTTTTAAGAGAAATAATTACTCAGGCTAGGTGTGTGGCACACATCTGCAATCCCAGCTATGCAGGAGTCTGAGGCAGGAGGATTGTTTGAGGCTAGGAGTTGGAGGCTGCAGTGAGCTGTGAGCACCACTGCACCCCATCCTAGATGGCAGTGAGACCTGTTTCTAAAAACAAGCGAGAGAGAAAAATGACGTGCTTGCTGCCTTGCTAAATGATGTTTTGCCATCTTGCACATACATGGATCCCTTTGGCTCATTCTACTATTCTGTCTCCTTGCTGATGTCTCGTGGAAGACAGAACTTGGAGAAAATTGGATGGCTTCCCCTGACCAGAGAAAGTTGCTCCTCTCAGGATCAACTTTCTTCTAACCCCTTTTTCCTCCTGGCTCTGCTTGCACTTCCTTCTCTCTGCCCTTTGGCTTCAGGGTACCCACTATCCCTTCTGGGTCGTGTTGTTGTTTTTGTTTATCCTATCCAGAGCTAGACAAATAGTCTCTTTATTTAATGCTCCTCAGATTTTCTCAATTTGAAGGTTCCATTTGTCTCTTGCTGGGAGTCTGTCTGAAACTATGGATTTCTAAATCTCTGTGTATTTATGTAGTTGCATAGGTACCCTACAATCTATATAGATATACATACCCTGTAATGGTTTGAACTGTGTTGCCCCCAAAATAACCCTGGGGACCTGTGAACACGGCATGATACAGCCACAAGCCTCGGAGCCCCCAAAGCCACCAGAAGCTGCAAGAGGCATGGAGGGACCCCTTCCTATAGCATCTGCAGGGAGCACAGCTTTGCTGAAGCCTTAACCTTACACTTTTGGCCTCCAGGACCAGGAGAGAAGACATTTCTTGTCTCTTAAG